CGACTACATGTAATAAGGTGTCCTTGATGGGATTCTGGGACAGAGAAAGGGCATTTGGTAAAAAGAAAGAAACCAAATAATGGACTTTATTAGTAATGTATCAATATTGGCTCATTAGTTATGACAAAGGTACCATATTAATGTGAGGTGATAACAATAGGGGAAACTGGCTAAGGGGTGTATGGGAATTCTGTGTACTATCCTTGCAATTTTTCTCTCAATCTAAAACTCTTATTAAAGATCGACGGAAAAAAGTTTATTTTTAAAAATATATTATTGTTATTTTGCAAGAGCTGTGTTTCGGCAGAGGTGGGGAGCAGAGGGCAGGGAGAGTTCTGTTAAGCTGGGTTGGTGACGAGCACTCTTTCTCCACCTGCCTGATTTTGTTTTGGGATGTGCCCAAAAGCAGGAGAGAGGAACATCAGCCACCAGGCCTCAGGCTCTGGACCTCCTGCCTTGTACCAGCTAGTGAAAAGCAGAGGTGAGGTGGTTATTTCGGGGAAATGAAAGGATGTCCAGGAAATGGTCAGGCGTGCCGGGCTGGGCTGGAGAAGGCAGGCTGCCACTAGGGCTCTGGTCAGCTCCCAGAAAGACTGATTCGCCACAGTTTTGCTGTGAGTCATACAGTCACACTTGACCCTAAGAGGATGTAAATGGAGTGGCACGCATTTAGTGCAGGGAGCGTTGCTCTTGCTAGGGACTTGGCAGAGAGTGGGGAACGGGGCAGAAGGGTGAGGTGAGCCTGCCTCTGCTATTTGTCACCATCCTCATCCACGTAAAAGACGGAGGGAGGCATTCAGGGCCTCAGTCACCCAGCCCTCGAGGTGACCCGTGCATGTTTAGCTACTGCCTTCCACCCCCAAGACCACCCATTTCACCTTCCTTTAGAGACCTAGAGTAGTGGAAGTGCATGGGCTTCGGAGGCAGCAGGTCGGTCGGGGTTCTGGTTCAGACTCCACTACTTGATAGCTAGGAAAACTTGGGTGATTCACTTAAGCTCTCTGACCTGTTTCTCTGGTTATAAAATGCAGATAATACACCTGCCTCACCCACCTCATGAGGTTGAGTCAAGGATCAAATGAAGAGAGGCAGTACACCAGGAAGGACTCTCTTAGGGTTATCGTTTGGGTGGATGTGGCAAGGATGGTCAGCATTCTTCAGTCAGCAGGTAAGGACCTTCATGGCCCTGGAGTTAATCTGCGATGGTGTTTTGTATGACTTGAGATGCTTTTGGTTGCAAGTAATAGTAAATCCAACTCAAATTGTCTCACATAGCTAAAAAAAATCCAGAGGCAGAGCAGGCCGCAGGAGTGGTGTGATCAGGGTTCCGATCATGTTTCTCAGTCTCTCAGGGAGTCTGTGTGCACTGGCTTCTAAGGCTGGCTTCCTTCTAGGTAGGAAAATGGTTCTGTAGGAGTCCCAAGCCACACATTCCACCATACCTAATAGAGATAACTGCGTTTCCCTTTCATAACAGGTCCAAGGCTTCTCTCTTTGGTCTGTTTTAGGCCACATGCGCCAAATCAGTCACTGAAGCTAGGACAAGCCATGCTGACTGGCCTAGGCCCTGGGTTATTATCAAACCTGGACAAATTACTGAAGCAGAGAGGATGGATTAAAATGATTGGCTTAGGCCAATCAAGGATGTAGGAGGGGGTCAAATCCATGCAAGTCTTTTGGCTGCCACAGAGGCCAGCAATGTCCACTACAGGTTTTTAATCACAGAAAGAATCTACCATTGTAGAGAACGATGGTGATGAGCCTCTCTAGCAATCATGTCCCCCTTTGGCTACAACCCTGATTTGTATTTGGGGCTTCAATTCTTTCCCCATTCTTAGACGGTATGCTTCCGTTGGAGCTCCATTTACCACTCATGGAGGAAGTATGTGATCAAGGCTTAGGCCAATCAAGGCACTGTAAACTGGCCACTGGGTTGCTTCTCAGAAAGATAATTGGCTTGATCAAAGCTAGTGGAATGCACTGATACTCACTGGGAAGGAAGGCTGGGAGTGTGCCAGGTGCTCTTGTCTGCTGAATTGACCTAAGAGGATGTAAAGTCTGGAACTATAGCTGCTGCCATTTACAACCACATGAAGAGAGCCTGAGGTTAGAGCTAATATGGGAGATGGGGAGGGGAGAAGCCTGAAGTCACTCACAGCCAAGCTAATGCCTGGACATTTCATTTTATGATCAACACATTGCTTTGGTTCAAGTTTTCTGTCATTTGCAACAGTGTCTTAAATTATACAATTCTTCCTGTTCAAAGGCAATGAATGCTCTAAGCAGTGCATATGAGTGGCTAGAACATTTGGTCCAAACTTCACCATTTGTCATTTAACACTATTACATGGAACACATCCCAGCCATGAAAAATGTGGAAGAATGCTAAATGAATATGGATGGGATTTAGTCTGGATCAGGCATAGGCAAACTACAGCTCATGGGCCAAATCTGGCCCACCACCTGTTTTCATAAAGTTTTGTTGGAACACAGCCACATTTTGTCCATGGATGTTTTGTACTACAATGTCAGAGTTGAGTAGTTGCTTGCAAAGCCTAAAATATTTGATATTTGGTCCTTTACAGAGAAAGTTTGTTGCCCCCTGGTGTAGATGGTAGAGGAATAAAATATGAGCAAATTACTTCCCCCAAAATGAATACCTGTATCCCCAAATGGAAGCAACACTGAGTGGCCCTCCATCATAGACCTCTGTATCCTATTAACGTTAGGTCCGATTATCAGCCTTAGGAAAGCAAACTTTCAGGGAACTGAATTTATCCCAGACAATGAATGAGAGATGTCCTACATCTTTAAGATTTGGTCTATGCAATGCCTGTATCTTAGTAGCCCTGGTCACAGAGTCTAGGAAGCCTACAGGCATAAGAACATTCTTTTCTCACTCTGGGCTATTACCCTTCCTTCTGAGTTGGGATGTTAAAGCTACTGGCAGATTTCTGCAGGTGGCCCAGAGACCCACTTCCATAAGGAGATGGGATCAATGTAAACATTGGTGGGAATAAGAGAGAAGTTCTTCAGTTTTCATAATGGAATGTCAGTGTTGTTATCTGTACATCTGACATCTAAAGCTGATGGATTTTACTTCTACCAACAATATAGTTCACTCAGGGCAATCGGGGAGCTCCATTTTTATTTCTGGCTAACAAACTCCTGCCAGAAGTATAGCACAGACAGTTAATATTGGCGAAATAGCCAAGGTCACGAAAGCAACCACCCCCTCGGGGTTTTCTAAACCGAACCTCTCTGCTCAGTTTAAATCACCAGGAACATCATGGAAGCTATTTAATATGGTCTGTGCTTTTATGTGGCTGAGAAGTGGCTTCCTCAAGAATACTACTGCATTGTCCACAACTCAGTGGCTAGAATCGAACTTGTGGCTTCTAACTCAGAAATGAAACCATGAAGAGAAGGCAGTTTAGGAATACTGTTAACTGGTACTGTATTGTTATCAGAGGAGTTTGCACTGGCTTATCCGTGAGGCTCCTCTTCTCCCAGTAGGCTCTGGCAGGCTTCCCAACTTACATGGCACTCAAGGTGGGTCTGAGACGGATCCAAGGGAGAAGCTGGGGCTCATCTGGATATAGAGATCTGTAATAGTTTTGTATTTCTTTATTGACGGGGGAAATATTTGGGGTAATCTACTTCGAATGCTATGTGAGTGCCTTCTACTTAAGGATCCACATGATAAATCTGAGAATTTATCTCAAGAACCCACTTGGAATTCTGTTCAAGTCGGGAAACCTTCCAGACTCAACTGGAAGCAGGAAAGACATTTTAGGATATGCTAGTAAGATTCTTATTCTGAAATAAGAATACCATTAAATGAGCCTCTCTTCTCTACTTGGCCAAACTTTACCTACCCTTGGAGAATCAGTTCAAATCCTCCCTCCTTGGTATAAAGCCAGCTCAGAGTGAGCAATCCCTTCTGTCTCTTCACACCAATTATTACTGCAGTTAATCTCATAATACATTGAGGCTGCTGACTGTAAACAAAAAGTCAGCCAGACATTTCTCAGCAAAATGGGTTTATCCAGGGGCAAGGACTCGTAATCCTGTGCATGGGATCATGGTGAACCACGGGCCAAGTCGGCTAATAAAAAGAGGAAGCTCTTTTATAGCGGGGACAGGAAGTTGGAAAGGGCTGTTAAAGTTTCTGCTGCTGTGCTCTGCACTAAATGTAGGGCACGAGGGTTCCCCTTTCGGGCCACCCTCCTCCACTTTAGATGAAGTTTTCGTTCATTAATTTTTTAGAAGGTTACTGGTAAAATGCATGCACAGTAGGTAGGAATGGGAATTTTAGAATCTCTGGTAGCGTTTGGCCTTTTTGTCGTAGTGATGGAAAGATGCATTTTGACATGTTGCTTTGTAGCCCAAACCTTTCTTAGCGAGGCAAGAATAGCACAGGGGCAGGAATTACATTCCAGAATGTGGATCTGGTTTATGCTCTACCTCTGAGGACACCTTCTTCTAGTCCATCCAGGAGGGTCAAGCCACAGAGCACCCTTCTTGTTCTCCCTTGGGGAATGGTCTCTCACCAAATGAGGAAAGCCAGGTGACCACAGGATTCTGACCTGTCCCTGTGACAGCCACCCTACCTCTGGCTGTGATACGTACCCACCCACTCATTGCTGAATGTTTGCTTTATGACTCAGGAACACAGTCCCTGCTTAGAGCCAGGTCGAGGACACAGACACCCAGACAGACCATGAAACAATGTGCACAGTGCTGGGACAAAAGTAACCGAATTACAGGGAACTTGGGAAACACACAGCTTTCCCCACTCCTTGTCAGGCCCACTGTGTTCTCAGCTGGAGAGGGTACGCGAGGATGGATCCCAGGACAGACCTCCTTGTCATCACTAACGCACATGGACCGGACCCTTGCTCACAGGCAGACTGGCAATCTGTGAGCTCACGACTTTCAATAACTAACACTAGGCATTCCGAAGGAATTTTCTTGGTACCAGCCACAAAAGACAGAAATCATAGAAAATGTTATTCTTTTATTATTTTAAGGAGGTAATACATAGTCCAGTATGCCAAAGCAATAGGGAATTAGAGGCAGCAAATGGCCAGAGTTTTTGAGAAGAGCCTTATGCTGCATCTCTGAGCTCCCATCTGCCCACAGCCCATGGCTGCTGACGTGAAAGCCCAGTCAGCGGCATGGAGCTTGCTGGGCCCGTAGCAGTGGACAGATGACCAAATAACACCCCGCTGACAGATAAAGGGTTCTGTGTGAGCAGCAGAAGCCCTGCCAGGCTGAACACACCAGGCAGCACTCAGCCCTGCCACAGCCAGGTTTACATAGCTACTGCCTTAGCAGCAGCCAGCTGGTCCAGCAATTGATTTTATTTCTGAGCCTGGCATGGGTAGGATGTGAATAAATCCTGAGTCAGAAATTAAGGTGAAAGAGTTAGTAGTGTTAATACTCTGGGTGAGAGAAGACAACACTGTCTTTGAGGGCAGGCTGGGGGTCTGGTGGAAGAAAGATGGAAACACAGATTGGCCACGGGCTGCAGGCGCTGCCGTGAGGCCATCAGAGGGGTTTTTCACGGTACATGATGAGGCAGGGTGAGGGCGTGGGCCCTGGAGCTGCTTCCTCGTCCACTCATAATTAGTTTCCCACACCTGGGGCTGAAGCAAATCCTGCCTGTGCTCCACGTGTGGCCTTGGAGAGACATGTGGCTCGGCTCTCCAGGGCAGAAAGGGAAGGACTCATACGCAGACCTCTCTCCCCTATCCAGATCCCTTCCCCTGCAAATGACCAGGATGGGAGGTGAGAGCCTTGGGCACCTCCTATTGAAGCCCCACCACGTTTTTTTCTGGAAAATTCATTCTGGTGGGACCCAAAGCCCCTCCCTTGGCATGGAGCAGATTTATTTCCGCCCATGGAAAGGTACCTTCCTGGCATCTTAATGGTGGCGTGCAAGTGGGGATCGCAGCAGTGGCTCGCGGGTGTCATTCATTTCACTAGGGCTGTCCCAGCTGGAGAGCTGGTGGGGAGGGGCTGCTTCTCAGCATGCACTGTTTCCCAGCCAACCCTGGCCAGGCCCGAGCCGGGTTTAAATGCTGCATGGGCTAATGGATTTTTGGTTTGACAGGAGTGGGAAGAATTTTTTTAAAACCATGCCATTGTGTTCTCCAAATCTAAAGCCATCATTTCTGCTTTGTTTGACAAGAAAGGACAACCACAGCTCCACAGTGGCCAAGGCCTGTGCAGCAGAGAATGCAGTATATATCGAAACATATAAACCTTAGTCTGAACAGGTGAACACTGAGCTGTGATGAACACAGAGACTTGGGACCCCATGTCCTCTAGTCAGTGGAAGGTCCTGCTGTCGCCTCATCCTCATGCTCCTCGAAGCCTGGGACCGGCTTCTGCAGAAAGTGCATGGTGGCCTGGATCACTTTATCTGGTCCAATATTGTACACAGGGTGAGTGGGCTGCTGCAAACAGAAGAACAGGTATCAATTACTCACTTCAATGGTCCTTGGAAATTTGACCCACTAAATGCGCTTGTAAGAATTTAGCATAAGGAATCATCAGAGATGTACACAGAGATTTATCACACAAGGCCCTAATATTGGTAAAAACATTTTATAGTACATGGGATACAAAGGAATATTATATAGCCATTAAAAAAACATGCTTTCAAATATTTAATGATATTGGCAAATGCTTGTAACACATCAAGGGAGGAAAACAGTGTGTACAATATTGTCCCAAACTCAATTTTTAAAAATGTGTTTAACTCAGAGTAATTCTGAGTTACAGTATGTACAATTCAGGGTAAAGATATTTTAGGTAAATCACTTGGAAAAATGCCATTTTCCTGAAAAAATGTCTTATCTGTCTTTTATGTTTATCTTCTAATTAAAAAGATGGTTAAAAAATTAAAAATTAAAATGTGCTTGCAGATGTGATGTATATGAATAGGCAAAAATTGGACGTACATCAAAATGGGAAGTGATATGATTGTTTTTAATTTTTTATTTATACTTATATATATTCTAATTATTAAAAAAATGAACACGTATTTACATTTATAACAAAGAAAAAAGACCACAATCCTATTAGGCAGTAAAGGTGTCAAGCCATATTTGAATTATTCTATATTATTCCACTGCATCACAGAAACCCAAAAGAAACTTTAGGTCTGAGACAGGGCACAATCCTAGGCCAGTATTCAGGACTTTTCCACTCTAGGAGAATGAAGAAAAGGACATAACCACAGGAGAGATTTTAAAAGTTTTAAGAGAATACTATGAGCAACTTCATGCCAAAACATGCAATTTTATGGAACATAAATTTTCAAAATCGACTCAAGAAGAAATTCTTTAAAACCCATATGAATAAATTAAATCAATAATAACAGTTGCTTATTCTGTTACCACCATTTCCTCCCCCAAAATGCCAGACCTAGATGGTTTCCCAGGCAAGTGTTACCAAACCTACAATAAACAGGCAATCTCTAAACTACACAACTTTTTCAAAGGCTGAAGAAAGAGGGGGAAAGAAGAGGAAGATAACCATCTAATTTTATGGGGCTATGATATTATCCTGAAACAAACTGGAAAAGAACAATAAAACAAAATTTTAGATAAATCATATGAACAAAAAAGCAAAAAATACTAAATAAAAATACTAGCCAAAAAAATTAGTAAATTGAATCCAGCAGAACATTAAACAAACATACACACACATAACACACACTCACGTACTACTATGACCAGAAGGGCTTATCCTGAGAATATAAGGCTAACAGCAGAATATTTATCAACGAAACATCGCATATTAAAGGAGAAAAACCAGGTGCCGAAAAGGCATTCAATAACATTTAACACCAGATTATGACGGAAACAAACAAAAAACAATCTTGCAAACCAGGAATAAAGAACATCCTTAACTCCACGGTAAGCATCCCACATAATGGTAAGATTATAGGAGCTTTCTCATTACCATCAGAAGGAAACCAGGAACACCATCTATTACTATGTCCAGTCAACATTCTATATGGAGTCTTCACCAAATTACAAGGCAAGAACAAGAAATAAAATCTTATGAATCAGAAAGGAAAAGGCAAAGTTGTCCTTATTTGAAGATGACATATTCTCAACAGAAAATCCAACAGATTCTGTAAACTAATACAACTATTAAGAAAGTTCAATAATGTGGCTGGATACAAAATAAAAATGTAAATATCAATATTTCTACATATTAGCAACAGCCAGTTATAAAATATAATAGGACAAAATATTCTAGTCACACTAGACACAAAAAACTAAAATTCTTAGACACACATCTAACAAAAGATGTGCTAGTCATTTATGGAGAAAATGATAAAAGACCATTGAAGCACATGTAACAAAATTTGGAAAATTATGTTCAGAAACGGGAAGCCTTACTATTGAGAAGTCAGTTCTCTTTCATTAATCTTAAATTCAGTGCAATTCCAATAAAAATTTCATTAGATTTTTTGTGGAATTTGGGAAGCTGATCCTAAATTCACAGGAAAAAGCAAAAGGCAAAGAATAGCCAAGGCAACTTTGAAGAAAAAGAACAAGATGGATGGGACTTGCCTACCTGCCTTTAAGATTTGCCTAAGACAGTGCAGACAAGCAAAAACCCAAAGGAACAGAACAGAGTGTCCGGAAACAGAGTCACCTTATACATGGAAACTCGAGTACGTGATACTCATGTGATACACCAGTAGGAAAGGTTGTAAATGTCAATAAATGGTGCTGGTTAATTAGTTATCCAAATGAAAAACCCTCAGCACATAAAGAAATCCCAAGATAATTCAAAATCTAGATGGGAAAAGCAAATGTTTAAACTGTTTAGAAGAAAATATATTTATGACCTCAGCATAGAGAAAAATTTCTTAAGTAACCCCTCCCTCCGCAAAAAAACCCTCAAAACCAAAAAGGCAAATGAAATGTTCATTTTAAAATTAAAATCTTCTATTCAACAAAAAACACTAAAAACAAAGTGAAAAGACATGTTACAAACTGGAACAGATTCACCACACACACACACAGCACTGACAAAAGATTAGTATCAAGAACATGCAAAGAATTCCTGCAAATACGTAAGAAAAGGGCAAACAATTACATTTACAAATCAGGGAGAAAATGAGCAAAGGTTATGAGCTGGCAGGAAATTCAAGAACACAATGGCCAATAAACATTTGAAAAGATGCTCAACCTCACTAGTAATCAAGGAAATGCAAAACAAAACAGATACCATTTCCCATCTATCAAACTGGCAGAAGAGAAAAGTCCCTTTGGAGGGATTCAGTGCTGTGTGAGCAAAAAACAACAGCCACACCCAAGAGCAGCTCTGTGCCATCCAGTGAAGATGGAGGTATGGATTCTCTCCTAGAGAGACCCTAACACACAACACTACAACCTTGTAATAGCGAACTGAAACCATCTCAACGTTAACCAATAGGAAACTAGAAAAATCAATTAGGATACGTTTATACAGGGAATACTATACAGCAGTTAAAATGAGCAACATAAACGAACACAGATAAAGCTCAAAAGCATAAGGGTCGGTGAGAAAACACAGAATAAGTGTCATAGTAGATATGATACTGTTGTAAAAAGTTTGAGAACATTCAAAACAACCGTTTATGGATACATACATATGTAGTAATCACGCAAAAACATCTGCGGGCATGATGTCAGTTTTAGGACAGGGTTATGCTGGGGAAGAAGGGAAGGAAAAGACTGGAAGAGGATTGCACTTGAGGCAAATACAGAAAACATTAAGGCTTGGAAAAGCTGCATGACTATTACTCTGATTTTTCTGACTGCATCATCTCATCCATCTACTGGCTATTCATATTTCTTCTGTTGGAAATATTTTGTGACAGTCTGCATGGGCCCAATTATCTGATGGCTGCAGACAGTCTTAGCTGCACTTGTGTCTCAGGCCCGGGAGCGTCTCATGCAGCCAGGCTGGTCTAGGGCAGGATGCAGAGGTGAACATCTCGCCCGCATGGGACTGACAGTTTGAGGGCAGCAGATAAAACAAGTTAAACACACACATTACAAATTGTGATGAGTGCTGTGAAGGACACAAACAAACTGCTATGGCAGAGCATTCTGAGTGATCTCATTTACAGAAGGTGGTCTGAGAAGGCCTCTCTGAAGAGGTGGCACACAAGCTGAGAGCTCCAAAGGACAGAGGCAGCCATACAAGGGAGCGTTGTGTGGCTGCAGGCACCAGAAACGTAACTGCCTCCGAGGAGACTTCCTCAGAGAGAGAGCTAATGAGGGAGGTCCTAGACTCCGGGATAAAGGCCTAGAACCCTGAGTTTGCCTCCAGGTGTGTTTCCTCCACAGTCACATCCTCATGAATGCACTGCAAACATGAGGGAGGGTGGTAACTGCCAGCTCACCAGCCTGTCCCGACAGCAGAGCCAGTTCTGCAGAGCGAGAGTGGCTATTCTGCTCTCTTGGTAAGCCCCCATCCTGGGGCCTTGTGGAGACGGGATGTTAAGCGCCCTTATCCCACCTTACCAGAGCATTTTCAGGCACACCCAGGACCACATCGTGCAACATGGCTCCACTGCCGAAGTGCTGAGCTATAGACAGGCCGCTCAGACAGTAGCAGGTGTGGTAGAAGTCCCGAGACCTGCAAGAACAGGATGGTTCTCAGCAGGTGCTTCTCTGCTCCCCACAAACACATTCCCCTACCCCAGTGCAGCCTAAACAACAAAGCAACCACATGGACTCTGGGCACCAGGCTGCGCTCACATGCGCTACCCCACCCTCCTCACAGAGCTCCAGGAAGCCTGGTTTCCTCCGGCAGCATTTTTTCAAAGCCCCATCCTTCAGCCCTGCCGGACGGCAGAAACTGTCACTTTATAGTCAGTACCTCCAGCTGTCTTCCAGAAAGGGCTCTCATGCGGAGCACTAAATTAACGTATTTCTCAAATAAACATACGTACAAAAAAACAAAACACCAAGATGACTAGAAATGGGCCAAATAATTCCTGATAAATTGCTGGGCATTGGACTTTAGCTGGGCCTTTCCTGGATGCTGACAGCAGCAGAGGGTGTGTGTGTGCAAAGGAACAGAACTTACTTGATTTCTTTTTCTTTTATTTGACACCTAAAGGTTTTAATCTGTCCTGTAATAGTTGTGATTATAATGTCTGTTTATGACACTCAAGGATTTTAAAATCCTGTATCTTGTTCTATTTAAATCAGTTTGGTTAATTTAAAAAAAAAAAGAAAAGAAGAAGAAATAAAAACTATCGACCTGGCAATCTGTTTGCCTCTCTAGAGAAGGGAGTGCACATAAGCTGGGGGAGAGGATGGGTACTGGAGGTGCCAGGATCGAGGGCACTCAAAGCGGGTGCTCCCTATCAGGGTGCTTCTTCCCTTGCCACACCAGCACTAAGCATCTGGATGGAAAGGGACACCTTGACTTTTAAAGGCTGGCACCCGCTGCCATCTGGGTCTGAGTAGGCCTAAGGTACACACCCCTCCCTCCCCTCCTTGTCCCTTCCTCCCCAGAGAGAAGGCACTCACTTGCCAGGTTTATCCAGAAGCCCCCCAGCGGGGCACTGGCAGCACATAAGAATGTACTCCTGCAGGGCCTGCTGGTGAAACATCCAGTGGCTCATGCTGAGGGCAGGGTCACCTGTGGAAAGGCAAAGGATTAGCACGGGCCTAGGCTTGGTGGGAGTCCAGCACAGCATCCAAGACTCTTTTGTATTTAATTACTCAGTGGGAACGGTCAAGGTTTCCTTCTAGTCTTCTTGGACCAGTGTTGAAAATTACATTCTTGAGACACTTGATATCTTTGCCTGAGTCCTATGACATGTCTTTTCTCCTGAACCCTGACATGAGGCAAAGAGCAGCAGTGCAGAGTGGCACTTTCCCTTTGCCTGAAGTGCATACATTACCTTGATGGCCATCGGCAACCATACCTGTGGCGGGCAGGGGGCTAGCTGGTCAGCTCACCTTTCCAGACTGACCTCCATCAGTGCTTCTGACTTGGTCCACAACTCCCTGCTCTGGGCTTCGTAAGACATTTCCTCTAGTTCATCTCTGAAACTTGTTAACCAGACTCTAGCTAAGAGAACTCTTAAGAGGGAGAATAATGTCTGTTTCTTCTCCTTTTCTAATCTGTCTCCAAAAGGAATTCTCCAACTTTTCACTTAGCTCAAAAAATGTTCCTAAGAAGCATGACTAGGATCTTCCCTCCTGCATCATATAACATGGTAGCCCAAGCAGAAACCGGCAATTCCGATACTCGTACTGAAGTACTGACCAGAAAGTTCTTCACTCTGAACCGCAATCAGAGAATTCTGTGGGCCATAGTCATCAGTGGGAAGGCGGGGCAAATCACCAAGAGGCAGATGTGTGCAGAAACATTTACACGGGAATTGATTTTTTTAAAAAATACACCTGTAGAATGTGCATTAAGTCCTTGTTCAATTTTATACTTTGATACTTGGGCTGCAAAGATAGCAAACAATCTGTAAATGGCAATTAAAAGCCAGTTTTTTCTTTCTTCCAGTCTTGGTTTTGTTTGTTTTGTTTCTAAGCAATTTTCCATATACTTATTATAATTTTGTATCTTAGGTTTTTCATTTAACGTTATAGGCGTAAACTTTCCTGTTCTGCTACATAATCTTCATAACCATCATTCTGAATAGCCATATAGTACTTCATTAAGTGGACGCACAAGGTAACTGCTTTAATATAGACACTGGGCCAAAACTTTCATATATACAACTATAGAATCGTCTATGGTAAAAATTTATCAAAGTTTACAGTAAATGCAAAATATTTAATTGTGGAATACTAGAGAAAAAAATCATTTTTAAATTTCTTAAATGAGAGAGGACAAGATGGGGCCAGTTAGAAAGTGATCACTATTTCCCGCTTTAAGCACTGGATGAGGTGCAGCAGTTGGCTGACATCTGCGGTCACGTACAAAAACCACTCATCCTCAACACCCGGGTCACGCTCGGCCCCTGAGATGCTCACACTAGAACAGGCACACAGGGGTTGAGCACTTTTGGGCCTTCCCCCTCGGACTCGCTCTGGGGCACGTGATCACGGAGGCAT